CCAGGCTGGCCTCAAACTCACAGAGATCTGCCTGCCTCTGCCTCCTGAGTGCTGGGATCAAAGGTGGACACCACCACTGCCTGAGGCCCTTTTAAGTTATACACAGGAGTCCAGCTGGCCTATGAAGGGGGGTTGACTCTGATCTACTCAATGCTCTAATAAAGCCTTATGTTTCCAGTTTCCACCCAGTGCTGAGTGAGCTTTTGTTTTTTTGTTTGTTTGTTTGTTTGTTTGTTTTGGTTTTTTGAGACAGGGTTTCTCTGTATTGTTTTGGAGCCTGTCCTGGAACTCACTCGGTAGACCAGGCTTGGTCTCGAACTCACAGAGATCCACCTGCCTCTGTCTCCCGAGTGCTGGGATTAAAGGTGTGTGCCACCACTGCCCGGCTGAGTGAGCTCTTGATGCTGGTGCAGAGATGGGTCCTCTGTGGTGGGCTACCTTTTGTTTCCTTGAGGATAAAACCAGCACTCGGGAGGCAGAGGCAGGTGGATCTCTGTGAGTTCTAGGCCAGCCTGGTCTACAGAGCAAGTTCCAGGGCAGTCTCCAAAGCTACACAGAGAAACCCTGTCTCAAAAACCAAATAATAATGATGATGATGATGATGATGATAATTCACACTCTGCGGAATTACAGGGCCCATAGGAGAGTGCCAGAAGCCTGGAGGGCAGGGTGGTTTCCCAGCTGTTTGGTCCCTATTGGGTCTTTGACTAAGCTTTAGAATGAACCACCTCTACCAAGCTGGCTTTCCCAAGAGATGTCTAGGAAACCACCCTCAGCCAAGACAACCAGCATATTAAAATGGCCAAAAGTGAGGCCATCTGATGACCAAGGATCATGTCCAGCCTTGCCACTTCCTAGCTGTATAACCATGAGCAAGCTACACAGCCTCTATCTACCTCAGTTCCTCATCTTTGAAATAGGCCTCAGAAGGTCTAGATGAATTAACAGATAAAGACCTTAGCCTGTGGTGGTAATGTTGGTCATAGTCCTTGTTACTTACAGTATGGTCCCACAGTGCCCCCAGTCTCTCCCATATCTGACCTGTCAGAAGTAAGACATCGACTAAAGGGTCAACTATTCTGGGATGCCTTTAAGCCAGTAGCTTTGGCAGATGGGAGAAGGCTGGGTGGCCTTCAACCGATGGTCTTCTGGTAGCCTTCACTGGGCCCATTGGTCTAATGGGAAATGAGAAGCCACCCCCTCCCTGGTCCTTTCATGCCCTGGTCCTGTGCCCATTCTGGAAGAAAGCCTATTCATACCCCACTTTTAAAAGACAGGCAACCATTTGTAACATCCTGACAGTCCCCCAAGCAATTGGCTCATATACATATAATCACAGTGATCATAGTGACAAAGAGCTGTAAAAGGAGTGACAGAGGCCCCGGTCTGGGTCTGTCTTCAAAGCCAAAGTTCAACCTCCCATGTGTTACAGGGAAACCCGCCAACTCTAGACCTTCTTGCCAAGCTGGCCTCCTTTTGTGAGCTGCCCCATTATGGGAAGCCAAATTGCCATGGCAGCCCCTGGCCCCAGGCCTCGGCATATCAGGCAGCCCAAGCTTGGCTGGAAGCCTCCCTTGGCCCACAAGTGCCAGAGGCACCTGCATCTGTCCCCATTGGTAACAGACCCAAGAAACCCTCATAGCTGTTGTTCTGTGCTTTCTGAACCTAGTCTTCAGCTCAGAGCTGGACCCCTGAGGCCAATGTGAGCCAGAGAACCTGAGTGAATGGTAGAGACAGACAGACTCTGAGGGCCCAGAACCATCAGCACCCAATGGAAATGTGCGAATCACAGCTGCACTTAGCAGTGATGTTTTTAATGGTCACAAAAGAAACAAATGAAATTGATTTTGTTACATCTTATTTAACCCAGTATGCCCAAATTTCACACTTAGAAATATCTCAGTTGAGAATGGCCGTATCTTGTATGTTTAGAAAACACATGGCCGATGGCCACTGGACAGCATGTCTCTAGATAGCACCACAGATCTGTGGGTCTGACCACCTGTCTTCAGGAAGGGCTCCCTAGGACCGCTTCCCTTTCACCCTGGAGTTTTTGTTCATTAGCGATCTTTACCCAGAGTCACAGATCCCTGAGGGAAAGTGTGCTTTCCTGTGGAAAGGAAGTTCGGGCGCTGAGGTTGCACACAGTGCCCTGGAACTGAGATCATCTGGTGTGCAAGCCCAGGGTGGCACTGATGAACTTCTCCAGGAGGGAGTGCTTGGGCTACCTTCCAAATGCCACCTTCGGCACGGCCATGCTCCATGTGACTGTAAGCTGGTGCTGATCAGGCAGCCCCGCGGGGCCAGCAATGCCGAGGGTAGCAGAAAAGCCATCGGCATCTGACACTCTGCCTTTGTACACCTCGGAGAAGGAAGGGGGCGTTGTCAGCAGGGGCGGGGGGGGGGGGGCTTACTGCTTCAGATAGAGAGGGGTGAGCTGGGGCTGAGTGGTGGGGGGAAGGGGATAACAACTCCGTAGGTGGCTGTGACCTTTAGGAGTCGTAGGGCAGTCTGAACAGAAACTGGATTCCCACACCCTCTGACAGCTCTCTAGAATGAGACATGACTTAGCACCGTGCAAACACAGGAGTCTGGCTGATGGAACTGCTCAGGTATTCATGGCATATAGAATATGAAATAAACGGTTGCCATGCATGGTGACTTGTGCTAATATCCCGGCACTGGGGAGGCTGTGAGTTGGAGGCCAGCCTGAGCTGCAGAGTAGCCAGACCCTGAAATGAAGCCCAAATTCCTCATTTATCCAGCTACCTCCTGGGTTCACCATCAGCTCCGTGGGACGGTAACATAGATTACAGGAACTGACTTTGTATGTTGAAGGGAGCAATTTATGCAACTATTTTCCAAATATTATTAAACCACTATAAACCATTGGAAATTATTTCAGGTCCCTTTACTTCTAACACCCTTTGATAAAATTTTATCAAGTCCAGCATAGATATATTTGAAAGCCACAAAATTCTCTTTTAAAAATATGAGCCAGCATTCAGAAACCACTTAATCACTGAGTGGATTTCACAAGTCTGTTAGCTTTGTGAGCCTCAGTTTTCTCATCTATAAAATGGGAATAGCCATGTCTCCATCGTGTGGCACAAAACGATGCATGTAAAATATCCCACATGTAGTAGTTCAGTGAGTGGACTCTCGCTCTCTGAAGAGGGCTTTTATTGCTCTGTATTTGGTCCAGACAGGTTTTGAAGAAAAGGTGAGGTGTAGCAATTTGTTCGCAGTGGTGTAACTGAGTCTAGTCACTAATGTCTCCGTCACTTGCCACTGGGGACGTCTGCTCACTGCTGGCAAGCAGAGGTCAGGCCACCGTCCTCCATCCAGACCCTGAGTATTCAGAATCACAGCGTGGCGGCAGACAGCCGAGCCTGGAGCTGCCGCAGCCAGGACGTCAAATGTCACTTCTTCTCTCCACCCATTACCCAGAAGCTTTTCTACTTAAAAGTTTACATCTTGAACCATCAAAGGGTATACACTAAACAAAACATAAGACATTGATGAATTGTGATGAGTACTTCTAAAAATTAAAACAGAGGATGCATATCCTTAAGATATAAAGAACTTTCGCCAAGAAATAAAAAGAATGACCCTGTAGTCTGGGTGAAGGTGGGGATCTTGTCCTTTCTACAGTGTATCCCTAGCACTTCCCACCGTCCCCCAAGAATGAATGGATGGGCCAGTCGGTCAGGGTAATCAGGCAGCTTACTAAAAAGAGAAACACAGGTGTCTAATTCCATGTGGATAAAATGAAAATAGAAAGACTATTGAAATATCATTTTCAGTCATCAAATTGGCATTTTGGGAAACAATGGTAGCAAGTGCTGCTGGTGAGAATTCAAGGACACGGATTCACTCTTTTGCTGCCGATCGAGCAGGATGCATTGTGCTGCCCCACAATCAATCTGAGTGTATCCAAAGCTTTACTTCCGAAGCGAAAAGAACTGCTTTGACCCAAAAATTCTGCTCATAGGAATTTGTTTTGTTGAAATAATCAAAGGTTTTTTGCATAGATGCTCCTGGCCTACTATTTTTCAAAGTGTTGTATTGTGAATTCTTTGCCTGCACACATGTCTGTGTACCACTCATGTACCTGGTGCCCACTGAGAACAAAAAAGGATGTGAGATACCCTGGCACTGGAATTGCAAACATTTGTGAGCACCCTGTGAATGCCTGAGTCTCTGCAAGAGCAACAAGTGCTCTTAACCGAGCCATCTCTCCAGGTCCCCGTGCTCTGTTGTTGAATAAATAACTATATGGTAACAGGCTGGCATGATCCTATCTGTAAATTTTCTTACTAGTTAATTCTTATTGAGAATAACAGCCATCAGGGATAAATCAGTAGGAATTAACTTACTGCACATCAATGTGCTATTCCAAAACTAACCATTATAGCCATTCAAAAGTATATGATTTCTCTTGGTGTTACTTTTTAAAGATCTATTTATTTTATGTGTGTGTGACCCTGAGTGTATATATGTGCACCACCTACATGCAGGTGCCTGCAGAGGCCAGAAAGGGCATCAGATCCCTTGGAACTGGAATTTCAGACGATTCTAACCACCCAAAGTGGGTTCTGGGGGCCAAGCCTAGGTCCTCTGCAAGAGCATTAAGTGCTCATAATCCCTGAGCCTTCTCTCCAGCTCCCTCTTGTGTTTTTTAACCATTAAATCCAACTCACTGTCTATTTTTCACCACCAGAGAATAAGTAGATCTTTAGACAGTCAGTGACATCTCTAAGTGAATCCAGAAGAGGAAACCCGAAACAAGATTTGGGTGGTGTCTCCTGAAGTGGCAGTTCTCAGTGTACCCCCTTTGAAGGTACACTGTCCCTCTGTGTCAAAATCGAGGCTGGATTTACCACTACCTCATTTGGAAGAGCTGTGTTTACATGCCTGCCTACTTGACTCGACCTCTCTCCTGACAGGAGCTCTTTGAGTTACTGGGACGTGTAACTGATGTGTTTGTTTCCACACAGATAATTGCTTACCAGCCATATGGAAAATCCGTGGACTGGTGGGCATACGGTGTGCTGCTGTATGAGATGCTGGCTGGGCAGGTAATGTTTTACTGCATGTTTGCATTTATTTGTTGCTGTTGCATGTGATGTGACTTCCTTTCGACAGGCAGTGATGACAGGAGCATAGTGCACTGGGGCTCCAAGTCCCTGACCCAGGGAGAGAGGGAGAAAATATCTGAAGAGCAGATGATAATCTCCTGATCATAAAAACTCCACATGGACACGGTAGCCACCATGCTGGAGTGTGGAAATGGTAGCCACCGTGTTTTGCACCCTGCAAACTGATGATAGCAGTGGCCACTGTGAGTTTTCTGGGATCTCAGAACTGGGATTAGGTTGTAGTTCCCTACAAGCCAGTCAACAGAAATCATCCCAGCCGTTGATTATGACTTAGTATTAAAGAAAGCAATGAAAGCCCCTTCCTGTCCCCTCCTTTCTCTGTGTTGGCAATGAAGTATCCTTTTCACCCAAGCCCAGCAAGGTTGAACTTCCTGTTATAAAAAGGCAAGTAAGATTTCACTTTAGACATGACTTTTATCTGAGAACCAAGTGCACTGCCTAGCATGGCACTAACTCATGCAATGGCTTCAACTTCTGGGTCACAGCAACACATCCTGACTGCTTTAGTAAACAACCCCCACATCTCAGTGGCTGCCTCCCCATCCCCTGGTCCTCTGTACCCAGCAGAGGTGTCGGATGAGGAAGATGACTCTGATCCAAAGTCATTTAAGAATTCAAGGACAGCTTTCTCCTGTCCTTTCTCTCTGCTGTGGTTGGGGGGTCTCAGAACTCTCCACTGACACACCTCATTTCAGCCAGTGATGAAGAGAGAGTGGTGGAGACAGTAACAGGGAACCTTCTAGAGCTGGGCCTAAGTGGCAGCAGTCACCCCTACCTATGTGGCACAGGCCACTTGACTCTCCCCAGCTGTAGAGAGGGCTAGGATGCTGAGCTGTCTGAGAGCTTGGCTGAAAGCAGTGGGTTTGGTGAAGCCTTGAAGGCTCTCTGACTTTATTCTTCGTCACTGTTCCATTGCTGTGATAAGGCATCATGGCCAAGGCAACTTATAAAAGAAAGAGTTCAATTTGGGGCTTACAGTTCCAGAGGATTAGAGTCCCTGACCATCATGATGGGGTGCATGGCAACAGGCAGACAGGCAGGCATGGTGCAGGAGTAGTAGTTGAGAGCTTACATCATTTCCTACAAGTAAAAGGCAGAGAGAGCTAACTAGGAATGGGAAAGCCCACCCCCAGTGTCACACCTTCTCCTACAAGGCCACAGCTCCCAATCCTTCCCAAGTAGTTCCACCAACTGGGAGCCAAATAGTCAAACATAGGAGCCTATGGGGGCTTTCTCATTTGGATCACCACAACAACTCTGTGGTTGGCTTTTTTTAATTGCTAGAACTCTGAGCTAGTGCTGAGGACCTTGACCTTAGAGCCAAGAATCTTAATAATGAAGAATGCACAGAAGTACCCATGCTGAGTGCAGACATATATACTTCTGGGGAGAAAATGCCCACCATTTTGAGATGGTACATTCATCCATCGCCATAATTTGTTTGCACACTGAATGCTTCCTCTGTACAGTGAGGACAAAATGGACAGAAGCCCTTACCTTCATGCAGCTCACAGCTTAGAGAAGGAAAGAGATAATATACTAACTAGATAAGGACAGTATGCATTAGTGATACACTGAGAGGAAAGAAACCAAGGGAAGTCACCAGTGAGGCTGGAGCACAGAAAACAGTGAGAGATCTGGCCGTGTGAACACAGTTGTCATCTCAAGACTTCTACTCTAGGACAGGAGGCCTGTCCTTTATGTCTCTGGAAACACTTAAAATTTTTTTTAGCTATTGAAGAATACCTACATTTGGTCAGTGCCCTCTGTTAAGATATGAATGATATAGAAAGAATGGTTTGTTTGTTTATTCAAGCCCCCCCCCCATTTGAGCATGCCTCCTCCGTGAAATGTCTCAGTGCATAAACACAGAAGAGCAGGTTATACAGGCTCACTGTCCCATGGCACACAGATGGGAAGCATGGGTTACCCGTGTCCCATGGCACACAGATGGGATGCATGGGTTACCCGTGTCCCATGGGTTATTCGTGCTTGAAGTCAGTTTCTCCCCTTGAAAAATTTTGACAACAAAATTTGTCTGTGCATTGCCAGCCGCCCGGGAGCCTTGATGACCATGTAGGCCCCTCCTTGCTCCTGAGTGTTGAGATCTCAAACCCAGGAAACAAACCCTGCCTTCATTACAAGTAGTCACTCTGCGGACACCAGCCAGGGCACTCCATTCCCCAAGAGCGTCCAGGCCTTGACTCCTGGTCAGCTGACAGAAGACCAGGGCTCAGAACAGCCTGCAGCGAAGCCCTGGCTTTCTCCTCTTCTTCCTTCCTTCCTTCCTTCCTTCCTTCCTTCCTTCCTTCCTTCCTTCCTTCCTTCCTTCCTTCTGCCCTCTTCTCCTCCTTTCCACCGACCTGCCTGCCTCCCCCCTCTTCTCCTCCTTCCCACCCACCTGCCTGCCTGCCTCCCCAGGACTTCCTAGGCTGCGTTCTCTAGTAAGGAGCCCAGGAAGGAAATCTCCCCTGGGCTGTTTGTTTCAGCTCACCGTGCAAGGGTACCGGGTCATAGTGGTCATAGCAGCAGATGCTGGAGAGAGCTGGCCACGTGGCATCCAGTCAGGAAGCAGAGAGAGAGGTGAAGGCCACTGCTTAGCTGGCTTTCCCATTTCTTTTCAGTCCTGGACCTCAGCCCATGGGATGTTGAAGCCCACATTTAGGGCAGGTCTTCCCACATCAGTTTTCTAATTCTAGAAACTTTGCACAGGAGTACCCAAGCATTTGTTTCCATGGTGATTCTGAATCTCATCAAGTTGACAGGATGGACCATCACAGGCCTTGTGTGCAGACCCTGAGATGGTATCCAGGTTTTCCAAGGACTACCCCTGTTCCCACACCAAGAGCTTCTGTACACCTTCTGGTCTGTTCCCCACTGTTTCTCAGAGTCACTTAGCCTGCCTTGCATGCAGCCCTCTAAGTCTCTATTATGGATCCAAAAGGGTGATAGTCCTCACCAATGACACCTGCAAGGTTTCCAGCATGCTGATGCCACGCTGGGCACAGGCCGCAACCTTGTTCCATACAGCTTCACTTGGCTGCCTACCAAATAGCGAGCACAGTTCCAGTCAGGGCCTTGCAAAGGGGAGTGAATTCCTGGTGTGTCTGTGACCCAGCCATGGGTGCCACTCAAACCCACAGCCATAGGGACTCAGCAACAGGAGTAGAGAGATATAGGCACTCAGAAGGAAAATTGATGCTGAGCTTGTCTGAGGGATTAGGCACTAAATCTGTCTTCCTTAACTGTAGAAGGCTAAAGATGAGCCAGAAAAGGTGGCTGGTCATAATCGTATGTGCCTTTAGCTTGTCAGTTGTCAGCAGCCAAGTGGGACCATTAAGTCTGAATAGCCTGAGTCCACATCCAGTGTCTGAACTGCTTGGGGAGGGGCATTAGTAGTGCTCATGTGGGCCTCCGATGAGCACATCTCGCCTCCAAGTGTTCCTAGTATTTGTCGTAAGGGGACTGGCTCTCTCATCAATGAGTTCTTTTCTTTCCAGAGTCGTCTATCAGCATTGGGTGCTTCATCTCAGTAACCCGAGATTCACCCCAAATGGGGCGTGCGTGCGTGCGTGCGTGCGTGCGTGCGTGCGTGCGTGCGTGCGTGCGTGCGTGCGTGTGTGTGTGTGTGTGTGTGTGTGTGTGTGTGTCTGGGTCCACAGCAATCTGCAAATCAACATGGCAGGGCTCTTACCCACTGCCTGTTAGGAAGTGATTAAGGAATCATTTTGTACTGTGGGAACCCATCACCTCATTTGTCTGATTAAAGCTCAGAGTTCTCAGAGTGGGATATGGGGCACAACACGTTCAGACATTTCTCTTTACACAAACCTGAGACTTGTTAATGGGACTCTGAGCTCAGAACACTGTGTCCAGATTTGTAGACATTTAAAAATAGCCATAGGAATGGGGGCAGTAGGGGAGAGAAGCAGTCTGAAATGGGCATGTGTACCAAGTACTAAGGCAGCAGATTTCCCCACATTGTAGTAGCTGGTGTTATTAGAAAGGAGGATGGATGTAATTATAACCTGTCACCGCTGACCTGCCTTCAGCATCAAGGCCTGAGAGTCGGCAATTATCTGGAAAGAGGCCCTGGGGTGAGCTAAAGAGTCCTAGCAAGAACATAAACATGCTCACGTCCTTTGGTGTTTAATCCCACACCTGAGTGTGTTCCTCAGAAGCAATTCAGAGAAAAGAGTAGGTGTGCACAGAGATCCTCCGACTAGCAATCTGCTGTTCTAGTTATTAGACTGCGATGTTGGAAGCAATTATGAATGCACCCAGGGACCTATGAATCCATCTGAAGAATGTTGGTGGCACTCTGGCCCTAAATGGGAACGCTGTTGGCTACCAAGAAAAATGTGTTTGCAGCAGTCAGATTAGGTGTCTTATTTGAAAATAATATAAGAAACACTGAGAATCCATAAAAAATAAGAGGTTATTTGTGTGTAGATATTACAGGGGGAGTGTATACCCATGAAATATCTACAGTATGGCTACTTAAAAACTTAACAATGACAATACCAGCTGACATACTTTGGGCATGGGGGAAGTCATGTGGGACACCACCCCTAGATGAAATTATAGGTGATTTAAAAACTGCTGAGAGGGAGAATTAGCCTTCCCTAGAGATGAGCACCCTGAATGGTTATCTAATCCCAAGTGCTCAGCCATAAAATAAATTCACACAAGCAACACTAAATGGACTCAAGAACTTGAATTTATGTATTTATTCACATACATACATACATACATACATTCTCCTGGCATTATCTTGGAATCTGTAATAGTGGTGTGTGTGTATGTGTGTGTGTGTGTGTGCATATATGTGTGAGCCTACCTTTATGACTATGTGAGTACTGCATATGCATGTGTGTATGTGTATGTGTGAAGACTAGAGGTTACCACGGGTACTTTCTTCGTTGCTTTTCACTTTATCTTTCGGGACCAGGTACTCCATGGAACCTGGAGCTCATGGATTGTGCTAGCAAGCCTACCCAGGGATCTTCCTGTCTCTACCTCCTTGTTCTGAAATACAGGCATGTGCCGCCATGTCCTGCTTCTTTAAAAATGTGTTCTGGGATTGACATTGAAGCCCTCATGTTTGCATGGCATGCACTTTAGCAACGGAGCCATCTCCTTAGCCCCATACTAGTTTTGAATAAGGAGTCAAAGACCTACAGATAACGTCTCTGGACTCAGACTAGAAGGCTGTACTGGGAGGTGGCCAGCTGATGGACCTATGCCCCTCCCGCCTCCAAGATACCATTTATCCTGCAGAGAGCATGCCTACCTCAGACTCAGACTTCACTGCAGCTCACAGCCCAGTTCAGAACGTAGCATGTTTGTCTTAATTGTGAAAACTCCTTGGCCAAAACTCAGACCCTCTTCTGGGTCCCTCATCAGGGAAATGCTGTGTGGGTGACAAGTAAGGGGTACTGAGAGGGTTCCTATTAAAAGGCCAAGAAGATGGTGTCCCGGAGCAGGCCAGGCACCACTGTTACTCTTGGCCAGCACAGGCCATCCGCAGCTGCACTCCCCCACTGAGCTGCCTTGTGGCTTCCTCTGATGTCGTGTTTCATCTACACACCATCGCAGGCTCTGACTAATGCACAGCCAGACTCGTTTTAGTTCTCCTCACCCACCTGCACACAGCCGCCAAATCACACATGCTTTTTAAAGCCAGGCGTTTGCAACCAGAAAAAAAAGCTCTTTGTTTATATTTAGAGAGTCAAAGAAAGAAAACGAAGTGGCCCCCACCACCCAACCCTCCATTCCCTATCCCAGCCCTGAGGGACAGCTCTTTACAGACTTGGCGTCTTTCCCTTAGAGAACACGGCTCTCCTGCCCTGTCCCCATGCCCAGTTCCCCATCAAACCACTATACCAGGGGTACCACTGCCATCTTCATGTTGAATTCAAGGTTAGTTCTACCAAAGGGCATATTCAGGGATTTCCCGTAAGTTCAATCCTTCTGGGCACATCCTATTAGAGGGAGAATGACAGCATAGAGCCCTCGGGATTAAAGATGTAATGGAGAAAATGCTTGAAGGGCATCTTGGTACAGGTTCTTGGCATCTCTTACACCCCATCCCCATCCCAACAGGTTCCTCTGCCTCAATAGCAACTCTAAGTACCCTTCCTTGAGTTCTTTCAGGGTACCACCTGCTGGACTCTGGACCAGCCAGAAACCCCATCATAGGAACTGGTGTGTCTAAGATAAGCCATTTGAGGGCAAGCACCCAGCTGGGAAGCAGAGCTAGAATGCTGGCCCAAAGTCATGTGACCTCAAAGCCATGATGTTCCATGGTACCTCCAGTCCTCCATATCTCAGGATGGAGATTGTAAGCCCTCTAGAAAGGACAGAGGATATATCCAGAAGCTAGCTCCTGTCACTGCCACCAAGCAGGACACAGGTCTTGTCAGGTCAGAAGGGCCCCATTTCCTCTGAAGTTCCCACCACCCCAAGTAAAGGCAGAGAGCATTCCCTGTACCCCTCACATATGCCCTCTAAACATAAAACCATCTGTAACCTGACTTGTTCATAATTAGATTTTTAGCACATAATTACAAGATTAATGGATTAATTATAATTTATTTGCAAATCGCTAAACACATTACTCCAAAACATTTTTCCCCTAAAGATTATTTGGGGCTTCTCAGGGCAAGATAATGAAAGGGACAATTAAAAAATGGGAAATGCACAACCAGCATCCTAATTACAGATAATCAAATCCACCTCCACCTTCACGGAGCTAACCTTGCCACCTGCGGCGTGTGGGGAAATGTGGTCTGGTTCTTCTCATGGATCTTCAAGCACAGTGATAAGGCATTAAGCTTTGTGTTTTCTCATCTTTGTCTGGAACAGCCTCCGTTTGATGGTGAAGATGAGGACGAACTGTTTCAGTCTATAATGGAGCACAACGTGTCCTACCCCAAATCCTTGTCCAAGGAAGCTGTCTCCATCTGCAAAGGAGTGAGTACATCCGGGTCTCCTCCCTGACAGTCCTCCAAGAAGCTGGCAGAGGAAATACCCTTCTCATATCTGATTTTTTTGAGACAGAGTCTTGCTGTTTAGCTTAGCCAGTCCTGAACTCCTTGGGTAGCCCAGGCTAACCTTGACCTTGCAATCCTCTTTCCTAAACCTTCCAAATTCCAAAATTCGGTGGCATGCAAAGGAGACAGAACAAACTCAAATTCCAGTACTGTCTAAGCATCTTGTCTCATTTTCTTATTCTAGTCCATTAACATTTCACGGGGTTGGGGGACAGCTCTGTCAGTAAAGTGATTGCCATGTAAGCACAAAGACCTGAATTCAGTCCTCAGAACCCATATAAAACAGCCAGGTTGAAGCAAAGGCAGGGGAACCCCTGAGCCCACTGGCCAGTCAGCCTAGCTCCAGTCCATATGTCCCAAGGAAGAAGGACACCTGAGATCGGCCTCCACACACACGCACACACACACTCATACACCCTCTGTCTTCCACACATGTTCACACACTCACATCACAGGCTCTTGGGGAGTGTTAATTCTCACATCTGGCCTCCTAATTAATTCACCTTACTAATTTCCACATCTGGGACACAGTTTGTTTGTCTTTCTCTCTCTTAAGATATACACATTTAAAAAATGGGTATCGCTCATCCAGACAGAACAATGCAATGTGCTTTCATTAAATGGATGCCTATGTAACTGTACCCTGGTCAAGAGACACAGAACCCCAAATGCCCTTCCTCTCCCCCCTTACAGTTGTTATCACCCACCACCCCAAGATAATCAGCGTTAGCCGCACAGACTAGTCTTGCCTATCTCGGGCTTTGCACAGGGGGACTCTTCAGTGGGTGCCCCAGACCTGGCTCTCCAGCGCAGCATGGATATAGTAAATGTGGCCGGATAGCCGTGCGCAGCATGGACGTAGTAAATGTGGCCGGATAGCCGTGCATGGGTTGCCTGGTTTCCCTCGTCCATGTTGCTGCATGTTTTCCCTGTGTGGACATGGGACAGCCCATCCCTGAATTCCGCTCGTGGGGGAGGGCATTTGCATTGTTTCCACCTTGGCTGGAGGCTGTTATAAATAGAATTGTTTTGAACCTTCTGGGTCCTGGGTCAACTCTTTCCTTTCCAGGAACTACTACTGATGGCGGTGACTTAACTCGTTTTTACTAATCAAGTTCTGAATCACAAAATTCTTGTTTGCTCTCAACTTGAAATGAACCACTTGCTGTCTTGGCTACAACACGTGTTTTTCTAACCCATGTGCCTGATAATATTTTGTTCTGGGCAATGAGGAGGAATATGATGCTTGTTGCAGTATCCCGCATGATGCTGGCCTGCAGTGCTTTCTACACACATGACTCTTCAGTGATCTCATGCCTTTTTATCGGATGTACACATAAATTACATGAACATCTCTTCCTCCTTTCCTTCCTCCATCCCTCCCCCACCTTCCTTCTTTCCTTCCCCTTCAGCAGTGCTAAGGACTGGACCTAGAACTTTACACCCTGTGAAGGAAGCTCCCTACCACTGAGCTGTATCCCCTGTGCCTGCTTCCCCATCTCCATACAGAATGCCAGGTTCGAAGCACACAATACACGCAGATGCCTGTTGAGTTTTCCTTCCATTTGGCCATTGTTCCCAACTGCTTCCTTACTGTGAAAATCACTCCACAAAAGCCACACTTGCCCCAGCACATGGGTGTTTCTTGGTGAACTTCCAGTGTGTTCTCGGGCAGCAGCACCATCTATGCCCAGAGGCAGAGCTGACCAGGCAAGGTGCTGACTCTGAGAGGCTGCTGTCATCAGACTGTCTTTTTGCCTCTTTCTCTCCAGCTTATGACCAAACACCCCGCCAAGCGGCTGGGCTGTGGGCCCGAGGGAGAACGGGATGTCAGAGAACACGCCTTCTTCAGGAGGATTGACTGGGAAAAACTGGAGAACAGAGAAATCCAGCCACCATTCAAGCCCAAAGTGGTGAGTCCCACAAAAGCAGGCCAGTGTCCTGAGCTGTGACCCTGAGATGTGGCCCCTCCCTCCCTTTCTCTGGGAGGCAGGAGGCTAGTGACCCTGGCCTTGGCAGAGTAAAGAGAATCAGCCATGGTGCACACTCATGGGACCTGATGGCCAGGGTTCTCCTGCCTTTACAAAGTGAGGACAGATGTGAAGACAGATGCACAGTCTTAGCCTTCCTTGCCCGCTAAACGATGGCCACAGAACCCCCAGGACGTTAGCCACCAGGCTCTGCCCTGGACTCTGGGGGTATTGTGCCCTGCAGGGCTTTCTTTGCCCTGGCTCTTGACAGGACTCGGGCCTTGAATCTGTTGCTAGCTTCCCCCTAGATCTGCCTGCTCCCCAGGCTCTCTGACAACCTGCCCCACCACGGGACCCTGAAGCACACCTAAATCTCCACCAGCTCACAGGCAGGGCCTGGGCACAGTTCCCACGGTGGCTTCCGCATCCACCGTGAGGAGTCGGTGGCCACCACTAGTTCCACCATCGCTGGCTTTCTTCAGCTTCTGCTCCATGATCCCCATCTTTAAAATTCGATTCAACCCATCATCTGATGGCCCCTGTTCCAGGCTCTTTTCAAACATTAATTCACATAGTCCTCCCAACACCCCTGGGAGGTAGACATGATTGTCCCCACTTTGCAGAATAACTCGACAGAAGACACAACTTGCAGATTCGGGGAGGATGGCATCAGTGGTCCTTTACCACCACAGTGTCTTGGTATGTTTGGTGGTGACAGCCCCACAGCTCCTGGTAGTGAATGGCAGCCACTTCTGCCCCTTCTAATGGTGTCTATCCCTAGAACTACACTAAGAGTGTCTTTAAAGCCCCAACCCCTCACATACCCCACCAGCGTCTCCACAGTGTCCAAGTCTTAGCCCCTGTGAGCCTCTGCCGTGCTCTTCAGAGACTGTAAGGCAAGCTGCCAGAGTCCACAGTCAGGTCGGAGCTGCACCCTGCCGCATTGATCGGCCTCAATCTGTCTCTGACCAGCAAGTCTGAGCAGGCCAAGGGGACCCCTGTGGTTGCAGAGTTGCTGAGTAGGAGCAGCAAATCCTTCCTCAGATGTGTCCACGTGCCCTCTGCGCCAAAAATAACACTGGCTGTGGTGAGTCTACTGAACCTTATTCTCCTCAGACATTTTTAGCACAGACTGAAGACAAACTAAAATTAATCAGGTCAGTTGACTTGCCCCTGAATCATTGTTTCAAACAGGCAACTAGTTAGTCCGCTTCCACCCCACCCCACCCCCACACGGCCCACAGGGCCCATTGTCTCCTCTCCCAGCCCTGGGTTTGGGTGCTCTTAGGAGGCCCTCTTCTTCAGTCCACAAGTCCCGGATGTAGAGCTTCAGAGGTGTGTGTGTGTGTGTGTGTGTGCGTGCGTGCGTGCGTGTGTGTGTGTGTGTGTGGAGGGGGTGATGCAGATGCGTGTGTGTGTGTGCGCGTGTGTGTGTGCGTGCGTGTGTGTGTGTGTGTGCGTGTGTGCGTGCGTGCGTGCATGCGTGTGTGTGTGTGTGGAGGGGGTGATGCAGATGCGTGTGTGTGTGCGTGTGTGCGTGCGTGCGTGCGTGTGTGCGTGCGTGTGTGTGTGTGCGTGCGTGTGTGTGTGTGGAGGGGGTGATGCAGATGCGTGCGTGTGTGTGTGCGTGCGTGCGTGCGTGCGTGTGTGCGTGCGTGTGTGCGTGCGTGTGTGCATGCGTGTGTGTGTGTGTGTGGAGGGGGTGATGCAGATGCGTGTGTGTGTGCGTGCGTGTGTGTGTGCGCGTGCGTGTGTGTGCGTGTGTGTGCGTGTGTGTGCGTGCGTGCGTGCGTGTGTGTGTGTGTGGAGGGGGTGATGCAGATGCCTAGCAGAACAGTGTCTGGGAGTCTCTTTGTTCACAGCCGTCTCATCTTCCTAAATTAAGATGTGAAGGATTGGCAGTAGACGGGAGCAAAGTCTGTTTCTCTACGGGAGCACCAGGCAATTCCTCCCCCTCCTTAAAGGACCAAGCAGGGAGGAATAACTAGTCTGTCACTTTGAGAAAGAGGTGGAATGCCACAAACCCAGACACAAGGTTCTTCTCACCTTGAGTTCAGAAAAACCCCTTCCAGTCTCCCACCTTTTGTAAGTAGTTGGCCTTAAACTCACAAGTAGAGAGAACCAGACTGACTTATCTTAGAAAGCTAAGAATGTGAGCTGTTCCCCTTGAGTCATGGAAGGATCTGGGAGCATAGTGATTTCTATGGTAACAGCTGATGTGTGAGCAGTGTTTATTTTTTTATTCCCAACGGACTGCAGTTTGTTTGCTTGTACCAAGTGCTAGTTTAAAAAAAAGGAATACATTGCATTTGGCTGCGAAGAAACAACCCCCAGAATCACAGACAGAAACAGAAATGGAAGACAAAGTTCCTAAAACTATAGCTCTTGTGAAGAAGCCGGAGGCGGGAACAAGGCCATGGCTGCTTACAGTGAGGTCTCTGACCCTCAATCCTGTGCTCAAGGAGTGGGGAGCCAGAAAGAATGAAGGGACAGAAGCCAGGCTCCAGAGAAGAGAGACACAGCTAAGGGGGAAGAGTGAGAAGCAAGTGGGATTGGATGCTTTGTTTTTTCACAAAGAGAGATGTGGGGGAATTCCTGGTCACAGCATCGCCCTACCTCAGTCCCTACCTCAGTCCCTACCCTAACCCCCCTGCCACAGACCCAAGACAGTCACCTCTTAATCTCAGGGTCCCTAGGGTATCATTCTGTCTACACGGCAAGGTGCTGGTGTGGAAACACCCCACCAAGAACAGGTCATCAGTCGGAATGTCACTTAGGTCCGAGAAAAGCAATGTAGTCAGAGTCACAATATGATTAAAACAGGCAGCAGGGAGAATGGATGGCAGACAGAAGCCTCTCTGGGATGTGACTCCCCATCTTCCCCATGAAACATGCTTGCCTGGGTCATGGCTAAATGCAAACTCAGAGGAATATGTAGAAAAAAGGAGCTGGGGGTTCTCCAACAGGAGTTAATTGGAAGAGGGGTGAGCAACACAGGCCTCTCCATTGCTGCTGTAAACACCCAGGCAGCATGGCGGCCACAGCTGCTGGCTTCCTTCCATGTCCTCCCAGTGAGCCTGGCTCTGAGGGCCCACTGCCACCCCCACCTCTGAGCAGCCCTCCCCTCAGAGGCCTGGATGACAACCTTGTCCATCATGGTGGGGTCTTCCCAGGGGGTTTCTAACAAGCACTGATGGTTGGATTTCCCTGAGTTCCACAGGATTAAGGGCCATTAGCTGTTCTCCCCTTTGTGCTGCTCCGGCTTCCGTGGAGTTAAGCCCTTGCTTATTGTCACATACCAGCTGTGGGACTTGAAGTGCTCACAGTACTGGTTGGCTGCTGCAGGGATCTCATCTGTGCTTGTAGAGACTCCGGAGTCTATTGGGGTGTTTTGTTGTGGTTTTGCTTTTGTTTTCTGAATTACTCACACCACCTGCCACATACACACTAGGAGGGGAGAGGAGCTGCATAGCAGGGCAGACCGGGAACTTAACCTAGAAGAATCAACAAGGTTCTCTTGATGTCATATGTTTATACCTTTCTATCACTTGAGTAACAACTTAAGTTAACCTTTAGACCAAAGTGTCATGCAAGGTGTGGTGTCACAGTAAAAAACCCTCTATGGTATAGAATCCGTTGGGAAGTTCTATACAGGACCTTCCATCTCCCACTGACATAAAAGTCAAGACCCTACTGCAAGAGGTCACTTATATAAGAGAGCAACGAGACAAGAGTGGCCGGTATCAAATATGGGGTCTGGAGTCTCAGCAGTGAGGGAAGAGTTTGTCCTACAGTAACCAATGGTAAGAAGGCCCAGTCCTCAGCAGAGCCATGGCTGTCCCCCAGAGGCTACCATGTACCATTGTGAAGCCAAGATTGTCCCCAGGCCAGGTAGAGGCTTTCCTGTGCTAATTTGTTTTAAAGAAAAGGTAAAGCCAAACAGATGTGCTGTGCCAACCCAGAGGTGACGCCGCTAGACAACTGCGTCCTCAACCTTATGAGAAAAATGCCATCCAGCACGGTCCCAGTGAGCTGCTCTAGGAAACACACACAGTAAGCTTCAGTTGTGATGCACCCAATGCTCCCCACAGCCAACCCAAGTCCTTAAAAGAAAATCTGTCCATATTTGGACAACTCCATGAAAGAGATGCTGTAAACACATGTAAAGGCATGCCACCTCTGAAAAGGTTTCTTCAGTTACAGAAGAAATGAATGTTCCTGCGGCTTCAGGCAGGCAAGGAGGTACTACACACAGAGCCATACAGCCAGCCTGCTTGACCACCCGACCCTCACCAAGGGAAGGACAGTCCCTTCATTCTGCTTGGACTGAAGAGCCACTCTGACTGCCATTCTTCACTCCATCCCCCAGATACAGAGAAAGCATGGAGTTAATTGATTTTTCCCCTCTTTTGAGTTCTATCCATTGGCACAAGAAAGCACAATAGCCGCTTCCCAGACAAGCCAGAAATAGCCACTGTACTGGAAGGGACATCAGAGGAAGGGTGTTAACCTGTAGAGTCAACTCCCAGAACTAAACATCGCTGAATGCATGTTTTAGGTAGGTGAAGCATCTTTTAGATGGGCCAGTCTCTCAAGAGACAGCCTTCCTTGGGAAATTATTGCAGTTACTTTCTCAAAAGCAGGTAGGAAAAACTAGAATAATTTTCCCTGTCGCAAGAGCCAAAGACAGTAAGAACAGCAAGCACAAGCCATAAAGGGAGCCAGCAAGGGGGATGCTTGCAAGATGAGGGTCCCCTTGCATGACACCACTAGCTCATTTAGAGAACACAGTGGTGGTTTGGGGCTGGCGGTTACGTTTTTAATTATTCTGAAAGAATTTCTCAGACTTGCGAAAGAGTTGGGAAACTGAGCATGGTGGCAGCCCTCCAGTAATACCAGTGAGTAGTCAGTACTCAAAAGGTAGAGGCAGTGGGATCATGAGC